TCAGTAAGAGCAGATATTCCTTATATGATCTCAGGTCAGTCTCCTCCCTTTCCCAGACTGTAAACTAATGAAATGTTGTCACTAGTTTACACCCGGTTGTGTTTTAGTAATGACGCTGTTATTTATAATATTCTAATATGCATTTTTATATAAATATTGTAGTTTTATTTTTAAATGTCAAGGTTATCTTCAGTACCAGTATATTATGGTACAGCTAAATGCTATAATAGCCTGTCCCAGATCACAGAAAAGGATCAGATGGAAAATCCATTCTGGAAAAACTGTGAAACAAATCTGTCCGTACCAGCACTGATGCAGAGCTTTCTTTCTGAACTGAGACACGTCAAGCACCAATATGAATGGTTTGAGGGTTGCGATGACATTACAGCACACACTGTGCTGTGACCATAACTGAGGCTCTGCTTGTGTAGTTAGCCTCCAACTGCATTCCCAGTCATAAATCATTCAGATGTGCCTTATATTTTCTCCTACTGTATTTGTTTAACTGTCCACTTATTGTGCTACAAAACACTTAAGTTTCACTTACATCAGGGATCTCGAACTCCAGGACTCGAGGGCCGGTGTCCTGCAGGTTTTAGATCTCATCCTGGGTCAACACACCTGAATCAAATGTCATGTCAACATGTCATGTCAAAGACATGTTGAGGAAGTCACTTAGCCATTTAAATCTGCTGTGTTGGATCAAGGACACATCTAAAACCTGCAGGACACCGGCCCTCGAGTCCTGGAGTTCGAGACCCCTGACTTACATTTTCTATTATGGTCAATTTATTCATAAACCCTGCCAAGAATTTCTTCGTGCTTGACAAGTCAAACCAAAAGGAAAAATGCAAAAAACTAAACGGCAACTAAAAACCAAACAAACAAACAAAAAAACACATGGAAACCAGCAACTTATGGCCTCGCAGGATACCGTTGCCACCGCCATCACTGACACAGACTTTATGGCCTCTAAAACGGGACGGTTATCTCTCAATGCCTTGATGCTAAAAGACATCTTGTGCGCAATGAAGAGCAGCAAGCAGCATCTGAAAAAATGACCATTACACCTGTCCAAGCCTTCTGTCCGAGAAGGGGAGCCAATCAGAAGAAAGTTGGCTTGATGAAGGGAGGGAAAGGGAGTTAAAACAGTATAAGACAAATCAGAGTTTTCAAGAATCTTTTTAAAAATGTAGTTGGAAATGTGCATAATGATTTCCCTTTAAATAATATTTGTATGGTTTTTATTTCCTTTGATCAAAGGAGCCAGAGAGGCATTTTAGAGATGCAACGACACAGTTACCACAGGTAAAGGGGACTGTGTTTGTCACGTGTGTCCTGCTTCATTCATGTTTTATTCATTTTTTCATCACCATAACTGGTTCAGCATCAGCTCACCAGCCTGCCTTGACCCAAATATTTCAGTGTTCATATTCCTCCCTAATGTTGTCTCTTATGTTTGTGTGTTGAAGATCTCCATGTTCATTCCTGCCATGTGCTTTTGTCCTTTTTTGTTTGTTTGTTTTTCACCCTGTAATTCAGTTCGAATCCACCCGCTCCTCCTCCCCTACAGAATGTTGCCACTTCTCTCCCTGGAGCAGAAAGGTATTGGTCCCTTCCCTCCCTCGCCGTCCTCCTATTCCTAACACCTTATTTCACATGTCCGCCCCGACTGACCTCTACTTATCTCTTTTTAAATGCATGCCCTCTCTCTTTCTGGCAGTAGTAGCCATCCTGCTCCACCCGGTTGAGAGGGTGGGGTGATACTGAAGGCGAGCACCTCTTTAAAGTTTCACCCACACATCACATGTTTACATACTGTTGTTGTTGTTGTTGTTGTTGTTTGAGTTCATATGAAGGGCTTGGAGTATGTGAGGAATGTGTATGTGGGCCACAATCACAGCCGCCCGGGTTTCTCTAATGATAGGGTCGGCTTCTCGAAACTTGCGCCTGTGATTACCCATGATCCCTCTGTGCTGTGGTTTCCCCACTGCACAGCTGACAGCCTCGTGTTTCTCTCTTGATTCTCTTTTCTTTTTTTAAACAAGTATCGTGCTTGATGCCCGTCGTGAGACAGGAATGAGCTTCAAACTCTGCCGCTCCTTTTTTATTTCCCCTCATCCCGTACGTGCCCACTCTTCCTCCTTTTTCTCAAATCCCTCGTCTCTTTCTCTCAGCCCGCTCATCCCTCCTCTCAGGCACTCCTGAAACCGTTCTCAAAACAAATCAGCTGTAAATGGTCTTCCTTTGATTTTTTTTTTTTTCCCTCCTAGTTGCGAGAAGTTTCCAAGGAAACCAGTTTCTTTTGTGGTCGGGGTTTTGTCAGGGTCTCATTGGTCTGCTGGGAACAGGGAGCACAAAGGCTCGAGGGTTGCCTTTAAATGGGGGTGGGAGGTTGTCGGGTTGTGGAGGTGGGAACCAGTTGAAACTGAGAATCACTCCCAGTTTCACATGTGTCTCTGTGTTGGAATCTCAAGGTAAGAAATTCATTTAGCATGCAGATATAAAGACAAGTGGCTCTGCAGAGTCTGAGGAGGCCCATGGTTGAGGAACGCTGCTGTGAAGTATTTCCTCTCAGAGATTTCTGGACACTTGTTATGATGCAGGAGACACTCGGAAAAATTTTGGAATGTTGGAGCATGAGCTAAGAATTGAAGTTATAGTTTGTCATATCCTGTGAGTGAAGGAGGCATCATTTTATTTATTTGTAAAGTATCTGTCAAGACGTGTTCTGTAGTGTGTGTGTGTGTCAAACTTTTTATTAGCCTGAGGCTCGGACACAGTCGGGTTTCTGAACCTTAATTTTTGCATGACGTAGAGATTCTTTGAATGCTACTTGTGCTTTCCATTCTCCCTTTTTTCCGAAGCATGCAGTTCATTTCCATGACTTAATGGTTTCTTTGCACTCCAACATTAAACTCAGCAGCTGGAAGGGCATGTGTATTGATTTACCTCTGTTCTGCCTGCAAAGAAGGGAGCACTGACTGCTGCAGATTATTAATAAGACACTAATCTCTTCATCTACTCTTCAGTTCTTTCCCAGATAAACACTTGGACAATACCAGTCTAATCCCTTACTTTAATCAGCACATTCCCCTTCCTGAAGCTGAGTTTGGTCACTTTCTAACACCGCCAAACCATATTTCATGTAATGCTGGCCTAACCTTAACAATCTAACCATGCAAATATCCATCTGTTGCAGGCTGTGCCCTCTGACCCCGACTCTGACGGGGTGGCTCTAGGTCACCGGTCTAAGTTTCCCATCCCTAACATCCCCTCCACCCTGGACAAGCAGACTAACTGGTCTAAAGCTCTGCCGCTGCCCACTCCAGAAGAGAGAATGAAAAGCAATTCCCAAGTCATCACCTCATGTGTCATCCCCATTAATGTGACCGGTAAATTGAAATCACTGAATCTGATTGTTGTGACTGAACTAAGGTGTGGTGTGCAGTTGTCAGCAGTTGCAGCCACCTTTCTGGGTTTTTTTTTTTTCCTGCATATAAACTTTTTTTCCTTTAGTGTTAAATAGGAATATTGATACCACTCAGACAACAAAGCAACAACCAGCTTATATTAAGTTTAGAATAAAGACTGGAAACAAGGAGCCAGTTTGCTTGACTTTGGAAGGTGAAAAAGCAAAGACGCACAGCGTAGAGGCAGCTCTGAAACATTGTAATTACAGCTCATATAATGTATTTTCAAATCTTTACAAAACCTGAAGTGTTTAAAAATCATTTTGTGATTTTTGGCAAAATGAAATTTAAGGCACCAGTCTTGCCATAAAAGTGTAAATTTACATTTTTCCTTTGCTCAAAAAAAAAAAAAAAAAGTGATATAAAGATTAGTTGGATTTATATACATTTTAGCAAAGCCAAGCTTATTGTTTAACCTTTGTTTTCAGTCATGCTAAAATAAACAAATCATCCCCTTTTTCAGGCTAATTAGCCATTATAGCAGTAGTTCTACATGCTGACCTTCCTATGTACCCATATTCGTTATAGGTCATGGGGGTGGTTGATTTGTACATAGTGCTAAGCTAGCTCTTTCCCTCTGTTTCTTCTGATTGCTAGAGCTGGCAAGCTAAGCTATCACTTTCCCATAGCTATATTTTTAGAGTAGCGACACAACTTGCTAACACTCAGTAAAAAAAAAAAAAAAAAGGTATTTTAATATTTTTTACTTCTACCATAAGTTAGGGATTTACTAATTACTAATTAGCTAATCTAGTTAAAAGTTAGCAAAACTATTAACCTGACTGAAAGTAATGGAGCTGAAAAGCAGCAGTAAATAATGTAAACATATGGGTAGCTATTATATTTTTAGATAACACTGTTATAAATTAGCAACAAAAAAAAAAGATTAATTGTTCAGCATAATTTATAAAAATTGGTAAATTCTAGTAAATTACAAGTAGTAAGTCCTAACAGTCAATCTGTTAGCAAATAGCTATAATCATTTTTAGCTAGATGGATTAACAGCTGAAAATATTAGATAATGCTATCCAAAAAAAAAGAAGAAGAAATATTAGTTTAATATGTTGGCCATTTTTTTTTAAAGTTGGTGAGCAGTTAAACTTAAAGTTTTTATTTAAAAGGTGTTATCTACATGTATATGAAAACAGTAGTAAATAGTAAAGTACAGAATTGCTAGCTAACACTACAAACAAAAATTGAAACTAAACTGTTGAAACAGACTAGCATGTTAACATTAGTAACAAACACTTGTGAATTATTTACTCAAGGTTTTCCTAGATGGTAAAGTATAAGCTAAATTTATGGATTAACAGTTAAAACTGTTAACTAATGCTACTAACAACATTGTAAGCTAGGTTAATGGATAAATAGGACAGTATTTTGCTAAAAGCTGTGATTAAACATTTGAAAATTATTTACTAAAAGTATATTAAACTGTTAAAAAAAACATAAATTGAAAACTAAAAGGGAGATGAAGTTAACTATATGTGCTCAAATGAACAATGTTTGGTTTTGGCTCTTCCTCATGATACTAAAATTTGTGTTCACTGTCTAATTTTCTTGAAACAATGAAGTACCTGGAAGATATAAGGAAGTGTTGCAGTTCAATCGCTACTAAACAAGCCACAATTAATGTTGCTCCAGTCACTCTCAATGTGCAAGTCATGCTTTGTGCCCAGTTAACTTTGTTTCTCATCCTTTGACGCTTTGTGCCTGCTGTTGCAAAGAGGCGAGATGCAGTGACATGAATGCTGATTAGTTCTGTCCAGATTGTTGAAAAGGGCAGCCTGACGTTATTTACTCTCGCTCATTTTCACTCAAAAGGAGAGCTGTACAACAACACCGGCCGAGTCAGAGACAGTGGAGGGTAAAAAATGCACATTGTAAGCAAAGCACAGCAATCGCTATGGAGCTGAAAGCTCTGACCTGCAATCACATGACAGTAAATCATATAGAGAGGGAAAGCAGAACCCTGCACGTCAGGAGTTCTCTTATGTGTACAAAACCCATCATCAGTACCATTTGTTTTCTGTCCTTTTCCAAAGTTTCTTACAATTACTGCTTTGTCATTACGTTAAGCAGTAAATAACTTACTACTTTGAGTTCTGTCAGATCTCTTTGCTCCACTCCTCACTGCTATTTTTGTGCAACACCTAAATTTGGTACGGCCGAGCGTCACCTTAAATGTTTCTTTATGTGACAGCGTGAGAGTTAAAGAAGGAATCTCTGCAGCCGCCACCAAACAAAGATTCCTCAGATGTGCTGTCTCCATTGCAGGGGTTGGCTTTGACAGAGATGCTAGTGTGCGTTGCTCGCTCGTTCACTCGCAGTCTTTGCTTCAGAGGAGACGGAAGCTGAGGAGACGGAGGACTGTTGCCGGCGTTCCGAGACAGGTGCAGCGAGACTTAGGTATGTTCCTTAAACTGACACATGCGAACACAAACTTGATTCAGTTTCGTTTTTCCTCTATTGTTTTATGTAGTTACTAGAACTAATAGTGAGTGTAGTGCACAAGCGCATATGTTACAATTATAAGGTATTTTTGAATACCAAATTCACATTGGCCAGTACTGCTTTCTGAACTAAATGCATAGTTAAATAGTATAATTTTTTTTTAACTCAGATAATTACTAAAATACTATCTGGACTACTTTGACTATTGTTTGAATTATCCTGAAACAAATCCAAACTGCTCCTCAATTACTGTGCATAGTTGTGGTAATCTTGTCACATGCTTGCTTTGCTTGATTTTACCTAGTGGACCTTGTTAGCATTTATTTTTCACAACCTTTTCATAATTGTGGGGTTTAAATGTTTCTCATGTTTGCTGAATGCCGTTTAATTCCACCACACAATTGGCCTAGTATCTGGTATTAAGTAGGATGGGTTTTTTTTTTTTGCATTTTTGCATTTACTTGTGGCTGGCAAACAGCTTCCCCTGACTTAAAAAATACCAGAAGCTTATAATAAGAGGGAAAATGTTTATTTTAAGATTTTTTTAGACAGCACGATACCTACCTACTACACATTTATTCATCACTGTTGTTTTGGACTGAGTTAGTACCCAATTCAGACTTGTAGATGTATGTATTCTATTGAATACAGTGGTTCTCCAAAAAATACATTTAAAGAACTTCATATGGGTACTGTTTTCTTTCTACCAAACTACAGCTACCAAATTTAACTGTGTATTAAGAAGTGTGCATCTATCAGTGTTGCAAACTGTATTTAGTGGTTAACTATCCCTATAATATTTTCATTGGACCATCAACAGCAGAGTTGATGGAAAATAAGATGGGAAGATGCAAAGTGCCGGTTGGAACTCCTCCACCCCACTCATACTGCTCATTTCCAGCTCCATATTAGTTTTCTTGGACCATGCTTAGAGTAGCTTTGCGTGATTCACAGTTCAAAATAATGCTTGTTTATGTTTTTCTGGGCCTTAATGCAGGCCGTCCTGTCCAAAACAAGCTGTACAGGTCCTTCCACTGTATGGCTGAAATTATCATATTTGGCATATCCCTCTCAGTGACATCGTCACAAACCAAGAATAGAAAAACTGCCTGAAAGAGTATTTCAAGCATGTTTGACTCACAAGGATTACTTCTACATATATACTTGATTTTCTTATTTGAAACTTTGGCCATGTTTGATTTGAGCATCCACAATTGTAGCAGTTTATAGATGACAGAACATAAAGACAAGCATTACAACAGACACAAATCCCTTGCAGTTTCTCTCAGGAAGGGCAAAAGTGTAAAGATCTGCCAAATCAAACGTGCAACCACCTCCTGTGGTGACACTTTCTGACAAGTGGAGCACCTGAAAGTATTTTTTTTTATAACAGGTTACCTTTAAATACATGAAGAAAGACATTTGAATTTCTTATTCTTGTATTTTGTGTGCGTCTTGCTTCTCACAGATTCTGATGACTCTCCTGGCTCCAGAGAGCGGACAGTGATAGTTCACGCCAGTGCAGATATCACCCCTTCCATCCAAGAGTTTGCCAGCCATCTCAACACCAGAGACTCGGGTTGTCAGACAGAAGACTTTTTGATCTCAGGAGCACCATCTCGAAGGAGGATCAGGCTCCAGAGAGGCCCGGGAGTCTCCCTCTCCCTCTCACATTCTGCAGGAAACATCTCCTCCCTCCCTGAGACCTCGGACGCCATGTTCAGTGCCTCCGTTGGAGCACACCTGCGTTCTCGGAGTCTGCCCCGAGACACCAGCCGAATGTTGGACAACGGACATAACGACAGCGACGATGAGGAGGACCTTTCCCCCTTCGACACTGAGGGGTTTCTGACTGGATCTAGGAAGTTGACTCTGAAGGATGAAGAGGAGAGTACTGATGACCAGGCCATGTCTGAACACCAGCTAGGAAGCCTTAAGTACAAGCAGCTCTCACAGAGTCCGGAGCGCAGCTGGATGGAACGGACCAGATCTCACCTGCCTAGAAAAGCTGACATGGGCAGCTGTGAGATCTCATCTAGCTCGGACACCTTCAGCAGCCCTATGCACTCCATCTCTGCTGCAGCAGTGCTGGGAGGCCAGATAGACCATAAGGAGGACCACCAGTCCTCCAGCGGGAACTGGAGCGGGAGCAGTTCCACATGCCCCTCCCAGACATCAGAAACAATCCCTCCTGCCGCATCTCCACCTCTGACCGGCTCCTCCCACTGTGACTCTGAGCTCTCTTTAAACGCTGCCACTCATACTAACGATGACCAGACAGGCTTCTTGCTGGACCACTATCAGGGCCTCAGGACCCAAAGAGCAGGCTCCTTCTCCTCCACAGCTATGGACATATTAGAAGAAGTTGGTGTCAGCAATCCCATCGAGGGGGAGTGGAGTTACCCCAATCCAGAGCCTCCGGGGTCACAGGGCTTCAGCCCCGAGCCAAGAAGAGAGGCTGAGAGCAGTCTGGGCTGCCCCAGTTTCACCAGTATGGCTACCTGTGAGAGCAGCTTCTCCGACAAACCACCGTCAGAGAAAGCAGACACCGTCTCGCACTACTCTGTGGACAACGAAGGTTACTACACCTCCATGCACTTTGACTGCGGCTTAAAAGGTAGCCAAAGCTTCACTTATAATAACTATGCACCCTCAGGCACTGACTGTGGCCTGTCAGACTCAAGTGGTCACATGACACTGGGAAGACGCTGCCTCTCCTTAAAAAAACCAAAGGTGAAGCCATCGCCACCTAAGAGGAGCTCCTCCTTAAGGAAAACATGCAGTGAGGGAAACATCCCTATTAAGAAAGAACCAAAGATTACATGTGGGCAGCAACTTCATCTGTCTGCAAAGGAGAGGAAACTGCAGCTGGCTTTGTCTGGCTCTCTGGCTCACACTGAAAACTCCTCAGTGGTCAGAGAAACCCGGGTAGGCTGGGGGGTTGAGGGCTCAGCTGATCTACCCGACTTAGTCTCCACAGATACACATTCATTTAAGGATGAGGGGGTTTTGCAGTCAGACTATGCAGATCTGTGGCTCCTGAATGATTTGAAATCCACAGATGCTTACCGATCGTTGTCAAACTCCAGCACAGCTACAGGTACGACGGTTATTGAATGCATCAAGTCACAGGATAGCTCTGAGTCGCAGACGTCCCAGTCTGGCTCCAGAGCTACCACCCCTTCACTTCCATCAGTCGAGGAAGATTTCAAGCTCATATCCCCAGAGAAGTTGGCAGGCCTGGCAAGCCCATCCAGTGGCTACTCCAGTCAATCAGAAACACCCACCTCCTCATTTCCCTCTACCTTTTTCCCTGGGCCACTGTCTCCATCAAGTGGTAAAAGGAAGCCCAAAGTCCCAGAGAGGAAGTCCTCTCTCTCATCACTGTCACTTCAGTCACTGTCCTCTAGGGATGGTGCAACCTCAAAGAGAGATCTGGAGCTGCCAATTATCCCTCCCTCTCATCTCGACTTAAGTGTCCTTCATAGCGTCAACAACAAGGCGACAGCTTACAAGACCCAGATGCAAATCCTTCACCAAAACAAACAAAAAGCAGCAGTGTCAGCCAAGCCTATAGTACCTCACAACCCAGAGGTATTCAACGCCCATTGCCTGTCCATTACGCCCACGGTGCTGAACTCAGTACACCTCCGATCGATCAGTAAGGAGCAGCATGAAAATCACACCACTTCCAAATTCCAATATCCCACTGTGAACTCACCTAGCAAACTTTCCACTAGTAAATCTTTAGAGCTTAAGAGTCCCGCACTGTACAACTCACACCACCATCATCTTCACCTATCCTCAAAGGAGTCAGGTGTGTTTACCTCAAATGAAGAGCTTACAAGTGGAAGGTCAGCATGTGAGACTGAGACAAGGAACGAGCCGGAGCAAGAGGCTCCTGCAAAGTGTGTGACAACAGTCAGGCTCCAGTCAGACTCATGTTTGAACCAGAAAGGTCCAGAAGTCCCCGAACAAACCAGAAGTCAAGAAAGAGAGACCTGTAGAGAGCTGCCAGAAACACCTGCCTGCCTCGGAGACTTCAGCTCACAGTCTGAGACTTTACAGCAACAACACTCTGAAGAAGAAGAAGAGGCGTATCCTCCTCCTCCTCCTCCTGTCCTACACAGTTCCCCCAATAGACCCAGCAGTCAGGATAAAGTGCCTGCTACTGACAGTCAGTTGGAGACGCTGCAAAGCAGTCCAATCAGCAATGAAGACAGCAAAGAAATGGATTCATTGGGCGAGTCATCCGAATGTATCTCACAGGAAAGCAAGGACTCCATGCCAGACATGGAGGACTATTTTAGTAAAGGTAATGACTTAATGTCCTTGTGATCCCCTCCTCAACCCCAGTTTGTACTCAATGCAACTCTCTGCTCTGCACCTTTTTCTCCTGCTTTTTGCCTCTGTAATGTCTGTTGCAGTCATTAGCGCTGCCACAGCAATAAGGTCTGTCATCTCAGTGTGGAGTTTGCATGTTTTCTGTGTGCCTGTCTGGACTTCCTCCTGTGACACAAAGCTGTGTGTGTGTTTGGGTAACTGGTGATTCTGAATTACCTGTAGGTTTGGATGTGAGACTGTGTGGTTATCTGCCTCTCTCTGCTCCTGTGAGGGACTGGCAACCTGCTCAGGCTGATATGATGTACCCTTCATTTTGCTCTGTGACTGCTGGGGTAGACTGCAGCCCCTCTGAGACTGTAAGCCAGATAAACATTTAATAAAATGGGTGGATGGAGGTCAATTCTGCCTGTTTTTGTCCCTAAGTTCTTCCAATTGTGGGAATATTCTCTGAAATAGGATTTATGGCTCAAAAAATTGCTGACCCCTGTAAAGGATCATAGAGCTTGTTAATTGTGAATAAAAGTTCTAGGATGGAGGTGCAAGATAAATTTTAAGGGTGCGGAAACGATCTTTTTTATGTATGTAAACTGAATCTTTTCTGTAATTTTACTTATACAAAAGCTGCTGAAACTTGATATATCTAATAATTGAATGAGCTTTTTGAACAAAACAAATTATGAAAAATTGCTAAATGGTTGGTTAGTGTGGAATATACAGGATGCAGTATATTCATATGTGTGAAATGTTCCTGTTAACAGACTCCACTCTCAGTGACAGCACTCTGTCCTCAGTGCATGATGAGTCAAGGCCAGAGGATGACACCGTGTTTCTGTCCCCCACTAAATCTCGCACCACTGAGGATTTATTCGCTATGATACACAGGTTAGTATCTTAGATAGGATTTTGTTTGTGTATACTCAAAATGTACAGAAATTCTTTAATCAATGTGGTCTTCTTCAGGTCTAAAAGGAAAGTGTTGGGGAGAAAAGACTCTGCCGAGTTGGGTGTGAGGAATCGCCTTGGTGGCGCTTCGTGGAACACGCCACCTAACAGCACTGCAAGCTCCCCTATCTCTGTGGCATCACCTTCCTCCGCTGTGACCCCACCTGGCCTGCACAGAGTCCCCGGTCCCATCTACAGGAATGCAAAAAAGTCCAGCACCTCCAACGAGGAGTTCAAACTACTGCTGCTTAAGAAAGGAAGCCGCTCCGACACTAGTTACCGCATGTCAGCTACAGAGATCCTCAAGAGTCCCATCACCCCTAAATCACTTGGAGACACTCTAATGGAGTCACCCAGACACCCCGACGACAACACCTTCCCTCAGCAGCAGCCCCAATCAGGACAAGACCACCTTTCCAGCCCCTACTTGAAAACCAACGCAGAGGGCTTTTCACCGAAATCCTTCCATACATCTGCGGCCTCAAGGCAGGGACGCTCCAGGATCCCACCACCTGCCAACAGCAGCCGCTACAGCATGCGCAGCAGGCTGTACTCAACGCCCATGCAGGCCATCTCTGAGGGTGAGACAGAGAACTCGGATGGGAGCCCTCATGACGACCACTCATCGCAGGGCTCCACATAAAAAAAAAAGCAATAATTAAGTAATTTTATTAGTTTACAGCAAACAGACAAACAAAAAAAGATGGACCAGAATGAGGAGAGAAGGAGAGAAAATTAGACGAACGTGAACATTTTTTAAAGAAAATCATAAATTTAGTAATTGATGGTGTTTTATACAGACTGCATTTCTAAGAAAACATCTTTATGAAATGAACAGTTGGCTCTTGTTTTGCGTCTGCATTATATGGAAAAATATGATTTACAAACCGGAAAATCTTCTCAGTTCTAAATTTAAACGGGGACCTATTTTTCTTTTCTTTATTTTCTATCATATATGTATGGAATTTTGACTTATTAACTCAAAATTTTGAGAAAAGTAACTCCAAATTTAGAGTTAGCTTTGCCAATCAGTAGTCTACGTGAATGACGTCATTTTCTTGTTAACCAGAAGGATATGGCGAGTTACTAACTCAAAATTTTGAAGAAAAGTAAGTCAAAATGTTAAGTTGCTTTTTGAGAAAGATAACTCGAAATTTGGAGTTATGAATACTTTTTTTTGTGGCGGAAACAGGCTTCCATATATATGTGATACTCATAGCAACACATGGCCAGAGTTCAAGGTATAATAATGAGGTCAGTGCACCTAAAAGTAATCTTTTTTGACCTAAAACTCTGTCAGAATTAATGGAGATCCCCAGTATGGTCAGAGGCGGTACCATCCCATATAAAATAAATAAGAATTATTATGAACTGTGAATCACTCTAAGCTACTCTAGAGTCTGCAAATAAAAGTATGGAGCTGGAAATGAGTTTAATAGCTGTTCTGTTAGTTTAAGGCACATTTCCCAAAGTCTTGTAGACCCAACCCAACAACGTAACGTTTTTAGAAATAAGCAAGAGAAGTTGATCTGTTATAATTAACCGTATGTATTCTGTGAATACAATTAGACGGACATTTCCTCTAACCAGTTACATCGAATGATTTTAATACCCTCAAAATGAACATCAGAATTGACAAATGTCAACATTCAGTCCCTATTCATATTTCCTGTAAACAGAATTGATACTATGTATATTTTACTCAGTTTGTCATATACTAAATTATATCAAAGCTTATTATTAGAATATTTTAACATACTGTACATATAGCAAGAAATGGAAGACGTAATTATTGGTGAGACAGGAAGTGTCAAAGCCGAGCACTAACTTGACAATCTCGTGAGACAAGAAAGGAGCAGGTGTTAACATGGGACATGAAAAAGTGATCAAAAAGTTCGAGGCAGGGAACTCGGAGAGCTGGAAAAGAATGCTGAAGTCATAAAGAAAAACTTACCAATGGTCATTTCTGGTTTGCTGACATGATGTGTTTATGCATTGTCGAAAGAGGCAAGTGGAAAGTACTCAGAGGATCAAATATGCCTTATTTTATCCAACAGGAGAAAATATGTGATGAAGCAGCTGAGGTCACAGCAAGTTGAGTGTTTTTGTGAGATTTTTGATTGTATGGTTAAATATGGAGCCGGGTTATTAAGTCTCTTGAAAAGAGAAATGTCTGGATTTGGCATTTTCTGCCCCTCAATATTCAAAAAAATATAACTTCTATATTTTCTGTCTCAAACCAATCTAAATATATTTATTTTTATAACATACACAAAAAACCTTTGATCAAAAATATGCAATGAAGTGCTGGAATTTTTATTTTTTATTCACATACTTATTTTGTTCATAAGAGATGTGTTTTAGATCTTATACGAGACACTGGTTGCAGAGACAAATTGGAAACTTAATTATAAAATTTCATTAAAAATGTAATTAAACGCCAAAAATATAAATGTAAGGTTATGGTTGTAACCCTGGTATATTTTAGTCCCATGTATTCACCATAATTTTATAAGTACATGGAGCTTATTGGAGTGATGGTACTCAAACATTATGCAAAACTGGCAGAAGCCTTGTTCTTCCCTGTAGGTATGCTGTCAATACCCTTTTAATTTTCATATTAATAACACTATATAACAGGGTACACAATGAGTTAAGTCTGTGAACCTTCATTCCAACTTTTTTGTTTTTTTCCTGCACTGACAAAATGATGTTTGTGAAGTTTTTTTGTCTCTTGCTGTACCTGGAGATATTTATAGATGTGTACATGCAGCTGTTTCCCTTAATAATATTCACACCCCGAGGATGCTTTAGGAGTGAAGTACAGGAATGCTTCTACCAAAGGCTAAAAACACGTGGTGGCATTGAACTGTTGTCGTTTACTTGACTGAAATGTTCTTGAAAACAAACCAATAATAAAGAACTAAACTTACGGTACTAGATGCATTTCATCTAGATACAGACCAACCTCTGTATACAGTACTTGTAGGTTTTAGTGGGGTTTTTTGTACAAACTTGTAAATTAAATAACGTTTTAGAATTGTTACAAAGGTTGTTGAATTGCTTCTTATGTAAAATAAAAAAACATGTTTTTAAAGTTTACATTAATTTCAGACCTTTGTATATTTTTGAGCTGTGGAACACGTTGTCTTGTATTTATTTTTTAGTAAGCGTTCTTGAAATCCCATAGTAAATCCTATCAAAGCCAACTGCTAGCACAACAGGCTGCTTAGCAAATGTGTATAAAAAGATGAATAAATGTGACTGCTTTGAAAATGTCTCATGTATCTTTAATTTCTGGCTACTTCAGATCAAAATACCAACCTTTCTTCACGTGTTGCACTCTTACAACACAGCCTGTCTGATAGACTCACGAGCCCCGTCGTCATTAATACATCATGTTGAGATATTTTTATAACACATTTCTATTCGACTTTGCATTAGGGTTAGGGTTAGATATAGTTACCTACTCTTTGGATGTTTAATGCCTGTTTATCCATACCATTAGTTATTTACAGTATTTCATAAAAGTGAGTACACCAGTCCGTGAGTCGTTTGGTACCGGGCCGCAAGAGTTGAGGCTCAGGTGTGAAATTTATGTTTTTCAGGGTTTTTATTGTTATTTTTTATAGTTTTTATCGTTAACTCGGTTTCCCTGGGTCTTTTCCCGTGTGTTATGAATAAATTTTCTTTTTTTTTGTACCAGTACTGGTTTTATTTTGTTCTATTTATCCATGACACTGTAAAGGTCTGCCCATGAAAATATTGTCGGACATAAACCGGTCCGTGACGCACAAAAGGTTTGCTGGTATTTTTGAAATCTTTTATTTTTAATCAAATGTTTATCTTGCTATTTATGTCAAACATTAATCTATACTGTCAGCAATTTCTGCCATACACACCTGTAGAAGTCACACATACACCTAAAATATATATATTTTTATTTATAATATAGGTATATATTTTAGCTGTTTGTCCCTTGTGTTTAGCTAAATACTTAATTAGCTTCTCTTCACTGTTAGCCAAAAATATCAGCTGCTAGCCATTTAAACCTAATACATTTTAATATTTTATCACTATTTATAGCTAAATAGTTCCAACTTTTTATCCATTAAGCCAAGCTAGCATTTTTAAAAATTATTTTTGTCTAGTTTATTTACAGTTTTAGCTTGTTTTTAGGGAACTGTTAGCTTTCAACTGCTAGTCATACTTTCTGTCAGGGCAAGCAAGGCATCTATTTCTATATTATCAGTATTATCTAAATGTAATGTAAAAACCTCCCAAAGTGAAAGCCTCTTCTTGCATTTCAAACACTTTTGTCATAAAGCAGTTCCCCTGCTTACATCCGTCTTTTAAAATTACTGCCATCTGTAGCCCCAAGCTTGCTTCTGATTCTACTGGAACCACCAGTCTATGATGGTTATGCCCATGTACCATCAGTAAAGCCTTAAGGTGGGTGAGCTATGAGACCTGCAACTGGTTGTTTATGTAAATCTACGTGGTGCCTGACAATGAAAGGTAAAAAGAAAGACCTCCTAGTAAATAACTTGCGTGCTTCTATAGCCAAATATAAACAGTTGGGATGAAAGTTAGCTCAAGCCACAACTTCCAAGCTAGCAAGACGTATCTGTTCATGCTAGCATTAACAGTGCCTATACACATACGCAGCACACACATACCGCATATTCACAGCATGCAGTAAAGACAGGCATAATTATGACAAAAATGAACTTAAAACACACGCAGGTATAATTAATGTTGGAAAAACATTATGCCTACCTCTTTCACAGGGGAATTGTAGAAAAAGGGAGAGGCCAAACAGGTACCCCAAATTTATAGGGTTGCACCATAGAAGAAGAACAGGATGAGGAGGGGTTCTAACTGATAATGAAGATAACTACAGGCTTGGAGGTCCTAAAAGTCAGTTATACCAGGAACAGTGTAGGGTTTAGAACACATTTTGTGTGATTATAACAAAATATAATTTATGACCCGGTTACATTTACACTTTTATGGTAATTGTGGACAAATCTCTGGTCTTTCAGGGAAACTGTTGGGAGACTAGCATGTTAGACAAGCTGCCATGGGATTTTCTTTCACAGCTCTGAGATTAGTTGCCATCTGCCATCAGACCCACTCAAAGTGTTTTTGAAATGCCTTCAGTGTATCTGACAGTTCATAACACCTATGTAGGACAAATGGCTTTTTATCTAGTTGAAGTGAAGACAAATACATTTTGTTATAAAAGTAAAAAAGCACTGCAGAGTTTGACTATAACAGTGTCTAACTGTCTTCATATCCAAAACACATGTTTGGCTTTTAAAACCAAATGCATATTTTAGATGACTTTAAGCTTCTATACTTTATGTTTTTTGCTATGTTTGCCTTTGCTTCTTAACTGCAATGTTGGGCACCAATATGAGCTCACCTGTTTCAGCAGGTAAGCCATGTTCTGAAGGCTTTAGATCCAGGGCTGAAGTTCTCCTCAGACCATTTTCTGTCACCCATCATTACTTTCTCCCCACTTTCTCATCTACCCTCAGGACATTTTTTTGCATGTCCAATAAATGTGCCAACTTCTAGACTTCATGAGGTCTAAAAGAATGACAAGGCTATATTTTACATATTTGCCTCCAGGTCTTACATATAGAACGGTGCACAGGGCACTGTTAGCAATGTTGCCTC